CGGCAGAGAAGAAGGACAGGTAGAGGAGCTCTGTTCTAAAGCGGAGGAGGAGGAGAAACGGTTAAAGCTTCGCCGTTAAGACTGGTTTATGAGTTCTTTTTATCTTTTTCTTTAGATTTTTATCTGTTTTCTTAGTTTCCCTGATTATGTGAGGCTAGGTTTCTTTGTAGTTAAGGTTAGATGGAACCAATGGATTTCTTTTGATATTTATGCTTTTCTTGTAATTGACATTCAATTTTATGTTATGCAATTAATCTGTTTTCCATTCCTAACTTTGTGTAGAAACTAATCACTCATAGATGAAATCATTAATCTCGTATAACATTAAGGATGTTAGTGTAGGTTTCTGATTGGTTAATTGCTAGGTTTTGCTTAATATTGGGATAAACTTGTGAAATCTATGACCTTTAATTCTTGTTCTTAATGCTTTCCCTAGGAGAAATTACTAAGGGATTAGGATCTTGAATATGGTAAAGGATTGAATCACCAAGGGATTGAAGTTTAATTAATTTAGAAAGAATTATCAATAACATGAATTGAATGTTAGTTATAGAAAATAGTAGATTCATTGGAAGACATTGGGAAAATCAACACCCTAGTTACACTTTTGCATATTTGATTATAATACATTCTTGATCTTGCGTTCTTAGTTCTTGATCTTGATAATTGTTAGTTTTATTTTTCATTTTTAATATTTAAATCATATTCCAAACAACTTTTAAGGTCGATCCAACTTTGATCATGTAGATAAATTATTGCTTGGTAGATCAATCCTTGTGAGAAAGATAAATCTACTCACTTACTCATTACTTGTACAATCGATATACTTGTCGTGATCGCAACAGTGAATTAAGTTGAATTGGAGCAAGGACTAATCTAGAAAAACTTGGACTGTGCAAATGAGAAGCAAGGAAGCCATTGGATTAGCGCGCTAATAAAGCCCTAACAACACACACCTTCATCAAAGAGTAGACATATCTGTTGATCATAATCTTTACTTTTTGAGCACGCCAAGTGCCCAATGAAGGAGAAAAAGATCCAAATTGGATAAAGGCCCCAAAATTAGGTTTTCTCCTTATAAAATTGTTGAGGAAGGAGAAAAATTATTCTTAGAATGCAAGTCATTAGAATTTTATGCTTTGGAGAGCCAGAGACGCATAGGAGGCACAATCGAGCTAAGATACATAGAGATTTACCAGGTATCTCTTTGAGATGAAGTTTGGAAAAGCCTTTTTGATTTCTTTTATTTTTGTTTTCGCTATGTCTAACTAATTTCCTTTGTAGTTAAGGTTAGATGGAACCTAATTGGATCTTGATGTTCTTGAGTTAATCTTTTAATGTAGATTTCCTTTTCAATATTGAATGAATTTTCTTTTTTCTTTATGCTTTTATAAGTTCTTCTTATAGATTGATTTATGGTTCATGTATGATAATAAAAAAGTTGGTATATGAATTAGATATGGTAAATTGATCATTGATTCGTATTATTCTAGGAATAGATATATGAATTGTGCAATCCTGATAATTCCTATTCTTAATGCTTAAATCCTTTTAAGAAACAAGAAGAAATTGTAAAGAAAGTAATGGCTAAACACACCACAATATGAGGTGAATTGTGGTTTAATTACAATGCAAGAAACAAAGAAAACAAAACCCATTTTTTAAGAAATCAACCAAAAATGAGATGAAACAGGAATCAAACCTCCCCAAACATAAAAACAGACATAAAACATACCAAATAACATCCAAGAACAAATATATTATAGCGGTAATGAAAGAGATAAGGGAAAGGAATAGAAAACGTCGTAATTTATCATGGTTCACTATCTAACCACTTGAGAGCTACATCTAGACTAAGGTCGATCGTTCCATTATGTTCAAGCTTTCAACCGGTGCTTGAAAAACTAATTTACAACTGGAAATTTACAAGATCTATGACTAAACCTTGATCACACTCAAGCTAAGCCCCTTAAGATCATTCAAATTGTCTCAAAACCAATCACAACAGTAAACAACGTTCAAACAACAAAAGAGCAACCTCTCCTTATTCACAATTACAAGATAAAAAAAGATGAAAGGAGAATAGAGATATTTAACTTTTGTCTCAAGATACCAAAAATAAGCCTAAATGGTGTTTAAATTTTGAAATTCACAATTCTGAGGTGTTTCTATGTAAAATCATGTTTAGGTACCCTTATTTATAATCATGTGCATCCAGATCCAGATCCGGATATGTCATATCCCGATATGTGAACAATACGTATCCCGATATATGAATAGTGTGTATCCTGATATTTCAATGACAGTAGGCTTATTTTTACCTTTTTCTATCCAAATCAATTTCAAATAATTTCTAATAACTTCTAACACATGAATGAATATTTTTAACATCAATTTAACAGTATTCCACTTGTGTGAGTCATTAATGCATGGAACAAGTATGTGTTTATCATATGCATAAGTTTATGGCTTCTAAATGCAATCTTGAGAGTTGTAGCTCAATAAACTTAATCTTAAACTTCCTAATACTCTAAATACAATTACAAACAACATCAGCACATCCTTCATATTTCTTCATTGGTCTTCAAGTCTTTGAGTCTTGTAGTTCCTTTCTTCATTTGAAATCTTTGACTTTGTGTTGAATTTGCTCTTTTAAGTTGTCTCTTCACTTTTGCATGTTGCCTTAGCCTTCTAACTTCATTTAGGACTTGTTGCGCTATTGTCCAAGTTGTGCAAGTGTGTTGAGCAAGTTGGTGCTTTATAATGATAAAAAATTCAAAGCTTTAGTCTTGTGACCTATGGTTCAACAAAAATTAGAATTCTTGAAGGGAGTAAAGGGTTAGGGCACTAAGACATTGGGTTTTAACTATTATAGATGAATTGATTGGCGATATTGAAATGACAATTAATTAGAAATCAACTTAGGTTACACAAGTTAAGATTAGGGGAAATCGAATCCCTAGTTGCTCTTTTCTTATTGCATTTACTTCTGTTATCGTGTTCTTGTTTTTAATTCTAATTTATTATCTTTTATTCGATCTATCCAACTTAAGCGAAATAGTGAACTAGTGATTGAGATACTAATCTTTGTTGAAACGATACTCTATTCAATACTTTATTACTTATACGATAGATACACTTACCGAGTTAGCAACAAAGGTAGGGGTGTAAATGGGCTGAGCCTAGGGGTGAAAGTGGGCTGGGCTGGGCCAAGCTTTGCCCCGAAAAGCCCAAGCCTACGTCAAATTTTTTTAATTTGGCCTGGCCCAAGCTTAGTATGAGTCTAACTGTTAGCCTGGTTTGGCCCGTTTATAAAAAAACAAATGGCCTGGCTTGGCCCGTTAGCCTGTTAATTTTTAACTTCCAAGCAGAACCATGAATCAACTTTACAAAGTACTCAAATTCAGTTGCTACACCAAAAATCATAATTTCAACGTCCAAACAGAATTATGAATCATAACAAAACTCATACAATATGCACTTAAGTCATTTTCGAAAGCAAAATGCTCAAACTAAATAACATATATTTCATCAGATCCAATAAACAAATCCATACTATGTAAATTAAAATAACTACATGAATCCAACAAACAAATCATGATGCTTGTAGTAAGTATAACTCTCCCAAAAATCTTTTAATATATTTATATATACAATCTAGCATGTTGAGATGTTGGTTCCTCCTATATAAGAAATAAAATAAGATTTCTACTAAAATATAATCGAATATAATTAAGTTATAAATAATTGCAATTGATTAAATTTATATCTTTTGTTTTTTCTTCAAGACATACTTACTCTATTTTATTTTATTTAAAATAAATAGTACAATATAGGCTGACCTGTGGGCTTATAGGCCTGGCCTTTTGAAAGTGAGCCTACAGCCTTTTTATTAAACAGGTTTTTTTAAGGCCCAAGCTCGGCCTATTATACAAAATATACTAAGTCAGATTTGGCCTGATGTAGGCCGAGTCATAGGCCCCTGTAGGCCAGCTCGGCCCAGTTTCACCCCTAGCTGAGCCGGAATAGACTTTGACTTAAATATGTCAAACTTGTGTAAAATATTTAAGCTCAGTCTGCTTTCTTAGCCCGACGTAGGTTAAATTATAAGTTTGGTCTGACATATATTTAATAATAAAAGACCTAGCCTAGGACTATTAGCCTGTTTAAGACTATTAGACCTTCAAGGATTAAAAAAATAATTAAAATAATAATATTTTATTATCAAAATTATTTAAATAATAATTTTATTTATTTTATTTAAAATAAATAATATCATATAGATCAGCCTATAAGCTCATAGGTCAATCCTTGTAAAAGAAAAGACTATGATATGGTTTCTAAATAAACTTTTTTTAAGGCTCAGACCTATTCTATTTTACTAAATATAATAGACGAAGTCTGACTTGATGTAGATTGAGTAGTAGACTCTTGATATGCCACCTCACCCATTTACACCCGTAAACAAAGGTATAAAGGTCAATGGTCGGCAACCTTCTTTCATATTTGCACTAGGCTGATTCTGACTTGAACTTGGAAGTGTGGGTTATATATGAGCAACTCCATTTATAACCGTTGAGAGGAAAATATGCTACGAAATTGATGCAAAGACATCCCAAAAGAACGACATCAAGAGAGATTGATATAACCATAAGCTACTATGTATATTAAATATCACTTCACAAGGCGCATGCCATATCAAAATTATATAACAATCAGCCAACTTAACTAAGCACAAGGTATACTTAATGTTCTGTTATCTCTTCAAAAGTGAACTTTGCGTTATAGATCATCAACAAAGCCGTATTCTCTTTTTAATCACTCCTTTCTTAATTTGTTATAGACTGTTCAATTTCTTGTTTTCCTTTCTTCTTGTTATACAACAAGAACTTTTTCTTAATTACAAGTACTGAAGAATTTCTCGACCTTTTTAATGTACTTCTATTTTATTTGTGCTGGAGGTTAGGAAATGGAATTTTACTCAAATCATTACAAATATTCAGAATAGTACTTTTATAGCAATATCATAATCCATGCACTAATCCCACTACTATACATATGCCATTCTTTCATGTTACACGCAGGACTCATCTATATATAACCATGCAAGACATATAACAAAATATATATATATATATATATATATACTACTTAGCGATTTATAAGTCACTGGAACACATGTTCAAGGTATTCCAATGATGGGGAAGAAAGGAAAATAATAGCTAGAGGGTGCCAAACCCCACTCCGGAGGCAGAGGAAAATCGATGGTTTTGGATGAACCGAACTGGTTTGCAGCCTTGCATTCCATGTCTTGGGGACACGATGTGAAGAAAGTAAGAGGAGTGGAGATTTTGTAGCTGTTTTTCTCTTTTCCCTTCACAATTTGTGAGACCTGGTTTTTCCTTGAAGCATAAAGGTGATTTGGCCCACCAAGAAGTTTTACAAGGCAGTTCACAGAATGAGGTTTTGTATGGTCTGAGGGAAGGTCAACCTTGAAGGAGCCATTATCTTCTGTAGTTGTCACAGCCAGCTTTTTCACACCTTCACACTTCACTAAGACCTTAATCCCTGAAACCATAGGAGAATTATATTATATGTTAGAGAAATAATATAAAAAATTATTAACGTGACATTTACTTAACAACTTAAGTTTTTGAGTTGTTTGACATATATCAAAGACTATATAATCAAGTGATCACGAGTTCGATTATTACCGTTCTTGTTTTTAATAAAACTAAAAAGTAAGTTAAAATTAGTCCAAGATTAAATTGGAGTTGAATTTACACTTTACTAGACTATACCTAGGATATATCTATTATATATTTGGCTAAGAAATGGAGTAAATAGAAATAAATGAACATTGATTTAAGCTCAAAGGTAGTAAATATGAAACGAGATTTGAGACAAACCAGAGAAATCGTAGTTGTGAGTGCAGTCAGTGCAAGAGACTTTGCCCTTTACCATTTGGCATGCTGAGGTATCAATTCTGGCTAGAGCTAGTGCAAAAAGAAGTGCTGTGATAACCTGAACAGAAGCCATGAGCTATATGAAAGACTGAGAACTGAGAACTTTGAAGAGAAGAAGATAAGTTTGAAGCTTATATATATTGGTAGCTTTAGACATCAGCATATTAAATGTGAGGGCCTAGAGCTGATATTAGTAGTTGGGGTTACCAATTGTAGATAAGTTTACTTATGCATAAAGATTGGGCATTAAAAAGTATACATCATGGCAATAGCATCATGGCAATAAGGAAAAAGGGTCCCCTTTAAGAATACTGTAACGTATTATTTTCCCTAGGTTATAAGGCATTGGTTAATACGATTTTAATGAGTGTATATTGAAGCCCAATATGTGGTTGATACCTTCATAAAGGAAACAGTGTTAGATCTAACTTCGTATTGGAATTTACTTTTCTCTTCGGATTTATACTTCACCTTTAGAATCTGGACATGTGGCTTGAATAAAGTCTACATGAAACAAAAAGTTGTGGTTTTCATATCAGACATAGGATTTTCCGTGACTAACTTAGGTTTAAAATTCATGGAGCATAGGTTTTTCCAATTACAAAACATTTACACCATCAAATTAAAAAAAAAATTGAGAAAGAAAAATAAATCAGGACAATTAATGCCTAGTACAAATGCAGCGACTTTTTGCTCTTTTATTAAGGAGGAGAAAATTGCTTGTAGAAGACATTTGAACGTTGTTATGAATTTTGGGGGTGACACTAACTTGCTCTGAATATTAATGAACCGTAAGTGGTAGGTCATGAGTCATGATCGCCGCCTCTTTCGTGGAGCTAGTACACACCCCAAATAAAAGTGAACAGGGTTTGTTCATAGTATATATGCCATATTTTGAATAAATAATTATAAATTTTTTAATCCAATGAGTAATAGAGATGAGGATGTTAAAGTGGATCGGATGTGTGGTTATACAGGAATGGATAAGATAAGAAATGAAGATATTCGACGTAAAGTGAGAGTACCACCGGTGGCTGGAAAGATAAGAGTATAAATTGAGATAGTTTGGGCACGCAATGAGAAGGCTCCTGAATACTACCGCAAAAACAAAAATTTGTTATCAGGAGCTCGATACAAAAAAGAAGGTAGAGGTAGATCGAAATTTATTTGGGGGAAAGTAATAAAAACAAAGCTTAATAGAGTGGGATATAAATTGGTGGACAGTGTGTCTTGGACGGAATGGAGAAAAGCTATTTGCATGGTGAAGAATTAGACCCATTGTTATTCCTATATTTCAGATAGTCCATTTTCATCTTCATCCCCCCTCCCCTTCTTCTTTTCCTTTATCTCTTTTCCCCTTCCCCTTCTTCTTTTTTATTTTATTTATTTATTATTATTTTTACAAACCTTTTATTTTTACTTATATATATATATATATATATATATATATATTATTTATTTATTTTTATCCCTTCGTACATTTCTTTTGGGTTCATCTACCTCCGACGCCAATTAATTTAGGATAAAGGTGTTGTTAATATTGTATTGACATGCCAATTAATTTTACTTTCATGCGATTTTACATATACGGGGATGCGATTTTACATCACTCAATGATGCTATTGCCCATAGAATATGCCACTAGGGATGTAAATGGGTTAGATCGGCCTACAGGAGTCTATGACCTAGCCTATATTAGGTCAGACTTGACCTATTATAAATAGTCGAATAAAATAGGCCTAGGCTTTAAAAAAAACCTACTTAGAAATAATGTCATAGGTTTTTTTTTACCTGTCAGACCTATAAGTCTACAGGCCAACCTATATTATATTTTTTATTTTAAATAAAATAAATAAAATTATTATTTTAATAATTTTGAATAGTAAAATAATATTATTTTAGTCATTCTTTTTAGGGTTTATTTTTCTGCGTTTACTGCAGATAAGCCTAATACGACATTGTTTTGGGACGGAAATCATGGTGTTTTTGTAATTTTAATTTATTTTAGGGTTATTATAGTCTTTATAATTATAATTTTTTAATATTTCAATCCCTAATCGATGTTGTTTTGGAAGTAAATGCAGATAACTTATCTGCAGTAACTGCAGAAATATTTTTCTATTTTTTTAGTTATGGAATGTTTAATAGGTTTAAACATGCTAACAGACCTATGTCAAAGCTTTTATTTTTTAAATATAGGTCAAGTCAGACTTGTAATTTGGGCTTACACAGGCTAACAAGTCATGCCAGACCTAAGATTTTTTACACAAATCTGATCTATTAAACCAAAGCCTAGCCTATTTATACTCCTATATGCCACCCAATTTTTATTGCAAGATTTTTTAATTGAATATTTTCACATGAAAGATCTTCCGTTACCAATGATTGCTGGTGCTGGCTATAGCCTATAGGCTCGCTTTGGACGCTTTACCACCCACCATTCACACAAGTAGTGTGTGCTTAGTTATTGGTTACTTTTCCCTTGTTCCTGGTCAATTGCATTTACCTTCAACAACCTTAATCACAAGTCCTTGTGGAAAAATAAAATAAAATCACAAGTCCTCGAAATTTTGTTTGGTTTTCATGCAAATCATTAATTTTCCAACCTTTTCCACTGCAACGGTTAACGTTGTGTGAATTGTGCCAAGTTTATCTCAAAATGACAAACTAGAAATGCAGACAATCTCTTTTCGCCTAGTGCAAATGCAAGTTAAGAAAGAGGCATTCTGGGCACATTCTCTGGCTGATGATAGTCATTTTAAGAAAGAAAAACCTCCACATGCAACAGAATAAAGTGTTGGTTTAGAAATGCAACACCACAACAACCAGCTAGCTACTCCACCGCAAGAGTGTTAAACGAAGCTAACAGATTAGATAACGCATATTATGGAAAACAATCTTTGGTTGTTGTAGCCGAATAATCATTAAAGTGAAGCCTTAACGGAACAAAAGAGGGACCATTCATTTATTGAGTTTATAAGATGGAACTGCCATTGTCCCACTAGAAAATCAGCAAGTACTACACTGCTCAAAATGGCAATCAATAATGAGAGGGATATCCGGGAAGAATTTGATGGATTAGGCTTTACAAGAGCAAGGAGCCACAATCGCATCCTACGTAGCACCGATACCAACACGGGACACGTGACACGATACGACACGACACTCTGACACGTTAATTTTAAAAAATATTAGCTTTCGACACGTTAGGACACGTTTTGATATTAAATAATATTTTTAATTTATGTAGTGTATATTATATTTAATATTCAATAATTTAACAAAAAAATGAATCTAAACTTATAATATTCATAAATTTTGTAAAGAAACAAAAGATATCCCAAATATTTATATTAAACCCAATAAAATGGTAATCATAATATAACAAATCTAATAGTTGGAGCTAAAAACCCAACGTAACGCAACTTTTGAACATTTTTTTGAATTTCTATAATGCGTGTTGGAGTGTCCGAGAGTGTCGGGAAGTGTCGGACATGACACGTCAGGATTTTTGAAGTGTCGTGCTTCGTGGCACGATCATGATCATGGGAGGGAACTCTCTCTAATAATACATGATAACGGGACATTTACATATACAGCGCCATAAGAGTTTTTTGGCATTGGAAGGATAAAAACTGTTGGAATCTTCCTCTGCCTCCATTGTCATTCGCTTGTGTTTGTCAAATTGTTCATAATAAGAATTACTTTGTGATTATCAATAACGGAGTATGCATAGGATTTATTTATGAGTAAAATGTGTGTCATTTTAAAGGATGTAAAGTTGTGTCATTTTAAGAGAGAGAAAGAGATAGATAAAGGAGGAGAGAGAGAGTTGACAAAAAAAATAAAGGTATGGATCCCACCTCTTTGTGAAAGTAAAAGAATATAAGTTGTGTCATTTAAAAAGATAAATATTTTTCTCTTTATTTATTTAGTTCATAAATTACTAATTAAATTAAATTATCATTTATAATGAACTGCAATAACCAATTTACTGTCATCGAGATGCATTAAGGTATGGGGAAAAAAGGGAAAAAAAACAAAACAAAACACTAGGAAAAACAAACAATAAAATATTTGAAATGCAAATGTTAAGCGAAATAGAAGACAGGCAACAGAAAAGTTTAATTTTGCAAGCAATTTTGATTCATGTTATTTATTATTATTTTTTAGTAGATATCATTTTATTTATTTTAAAAACTAAGAAGATATTACTTTCTTTTTCACTTTATCCTATTATCTTAATAATTTTTGTGTCTATCTCTTTCTTAAAATGACATAACTTTATGTCATTTAAAATGATAAACGCTTTTTCCATAAAAAAATTAATAAAGTGACAATATTTTGAATATTTCAAGAAAAAATAATTTATTCAAGGTTAATTATATTTCCTATATAATTAAGACTATTTAATCTTTTTACAATTACCTAAAAGAGAGATTTTAAAACAAAAATAGCATTATTTCACCACCAGTTAGAGTATTCCAAAAATACTGTGAGTATACCATTTTTTTTTCAAAATTAATTAAAAGCTGAACATGCCCCAGAATGATTTGGTGGGAACTTTTTTAATATGATAATTCATAATTTAATAATAGTGTAAGAAATATTTACACTAGTAATATATAATAACCCTAATTTGAAAGATGTACTAATGCATTGGATTAATTATTTAATCGTGCATAATGAAAATTAATTAAGTAGGAGGCTTAATTAAATTAATTAAATGTTAAGTGAGGGAAATAATCATTTAAAATGGTTAAGTGTGGTCAAATTAGAAAATGGGAGAAACATGCTAAAAATCCCTGTCACCCACTCCCCGCTAGCATGCTCGCTGAAGTGAGCTATTCAACGAGCTTTGTAATTGCTCACTGATGTAACTCGCTGAAGTGAGGAGGCTAGAGAGCAAACATGTGTATTGCTAAAATTAGATGAAAACAGACACCTCACCCGGTCCTTCCCACAAAAGAATAGATGCAGCCATTTGTGAGTGAGAAGAGAGCTTCAAAAACCCTAAGAGAGCTAGGGTGAGTGAAATCACTTGGTTCCAACTTCAAAAGTGTGTAGAATCACAAGGAGAAATCACTTGGTTCCAACTTCAAAAGTGTGTAGAATCA